GAAGAAGATAAGAATGTAGAAAATAGTGGATCTAATTCTTCGTCTAGACGAGAAAGTATGGATGAATTATCGTTCGCTATTGAAAGTGATTCTAGTCTAGCAAAATTCGAAGAAAACGAGAAACTTGTGGTAGATAAGAATGAATTAGAGAGTGCATGGCAACATACTGTTAACGTTACGAAGGATTTTCCTGTAGAAGTATTATGCGACATTTATGTTCAACTGAGCCGGTCTGTAGGAAAATACGCTCAGTGCTACGATAGAAAATCACTGCCAAAGGTAAATATGTTTTATTTCACTAATTACTGTACATCTATTTTTTCATGCATGCATTATGCCGTTTCTTTTCCTAATGTTTATTTATTTACTACCGAGGAATGTTATAAAACTTGGTTTCCCCCTTATGTTACTTGTCTTTGTTTAAATTTTGCTGTCGCTTGTGGCTCTTCAATTGGTCTATGCTGGAATTTGAAGAGCATAACCTCTCTGTTGGTATGAAATATTTCATAATTTCTATATAATATGTATAGGACTTGCTCAAGGAAATGAAAAGGTTTGAAGAGTTCAAGACAACGTACGAGAAAGTTCATCATGTTGCTAACCAAACTGACATGCTATAAAGCCATGTTACTATCTTTAGCACTATTATAACAAAACTCTTTTGTATATTTACTCTGAAAAAGGTTACTGCCTATACTTGTTAAGTCACATGGTAACTTGAAATAGTATCTTCTTACTTTTGTTTTGGTTTTTGCTGCTGCTGGCTATTAAAAAGAAGTACTTTTTATTATCACACAAAATATTAACAAAAAAAAGAAACCAAGTTATATTTAAATTTCAGTGTTTAAAGTCGCGGCAAAATGTAACAGTGCATAAAACTTACAAACAGAGAAGTATTAGTAGGAAGTTAAAAGAAAACTGTTGAAACTGTTCGTTTCGACTCTAAATACGAAATCGTAAATTATTATAATCACATTGGCTTTCATTATGTATAATTAATAATTGATGTTAGACCTCTCTTCATCAAAAATTTTGATATCGATGTAAATTACTTTATTTATTATTTCTGTCTTTTGGATGCGATATTTATTTAAAAAAAAAAAAAAAAAAAAAAACAAACAAACAAAAAAAACAGAAAACAAAAATAATAACGAGAAAATAGATACATTCAAATTAATTTTCATAAAATTATAAACAATTTATTTTTCTTGCAAGTCAATTTTAATGGAGTACTTGTGCAAATTCTGGGTTAATATGTAATATGTTATACCTTGAAGAGGTATACTATTTCATATCAACAAAACTTTGCAAACACTGGTTATACAAAGATGATGGTAATTTAATATAATACGTACTTAACTATAGTTTTTTACATATGGTATTTTACAGTACATTATATCAAATTATTTTATTGTACATTCACACGGTAACAGCTTCATAAATGTTATAATGTAAAATGCACTAAAAATTCTTCATATGCACCAGTTATTACTTTGGATTTTTACAGTTCTTTAAGTAAAGATTTTTAGAACAGATACTTTGAACATAGACATATCTTGATGCATAGGTTCAAGCACGCATATATAAAAAACATATGTGCCCTGTTTTAAAAATATTTAGAGAAAAATACAATTTTACTTTGGCAAAGTAATTTTGCATAATTTTGTAACTCTTTTTTTGAATGATTATTCATCGTGAATCATAATTTTGATTATTAATATCAATAATGAATTTGTTAGGAAATTGATAAAAGCTTATAAATTGATTTCATAAAAAAAATATTGTAAATACATTCCAAATCTTATAAACAATGTTATATGTTGCATATTAGGAACTTTTGGCTTTGTACATATTTTATTTTCAGTAATAATTTATACTAGATATCTTTTGTTATGTTATTTTCTCAATTTATAGCTCTGACTATAATGTATAAATGAATTGATAGGTACTAAAAATGATTATAATTAAAAATCACGAATAATTTAGTGTATTAGATTAATATTTACCATTTAGAATAACATTTAACACAATGACCTTATAGGAATGGATATAAAATTTATTTAATATAACGAAAATGTACATTGATACAATTTTTATATCCATTAAAAAAATAAGGCATTGCAGTGTTATGGAGTTATTCAGAATTAGTAGTTGTTGTTTATATTAATACGTTTAATTAACTATAATTGAAGCAGATAGACAAATTATATGTAAGTGATCGAGTTTAGTTATTATAAATAAGGTACAATTGCAATATAATACATGCTCTTCAATTTATTTTGACCAAAGCTATAAGCCATATGCGAAATAATAACAAATAGGTTTTCATTCTACTGATAATGCAAAAGTGGACATAATTGAAAACTATTATAAATGTGAAATACCTCGGTAAAAATCTTAAATATACACAGAAGAAACTATCTGTATAAATATTAGTTAATATTATATGTAAACCTTACATTCTAGATTCGTATACTGGTTGTGATTCATACTGTAACTGTGAAAGGGTAGTTACCAGATAATGTATGTGAGATAAAAGATTCTGACACATGCTAGAATGCAAGTAACAAGGTTCTTCCTATATTAAATGAGCATATACATAGTATTCACGTGAGAACTATGTTTGCAAATCATTTCCTTTAATCAATTTTAATTATTTATATAGGTACACAAATAGAGTACACATATTTGAATTAGGAAATTCTTAAAAGAATGTTATGTGATTAACAAGTAATACCTGTCTTAGGAATATGATATGCCATTAATAGTACGAAAATGTAATACAGTGTGGTTGAAAAGTGATGTCAACTAGTTTCACACTTTATTACATTCGTGTTAATCAGAATTTTCAAATGTGAAAATGTCTTTAATTAATTACAATAGGTTCACTCTTAATTTGTAAATTCATAATTAAAATCATTGCTGAATCTTTTTATTATCATTATTTAAAATTTATTAGAAGATAGAAATGAAAAGACTGAAATTTAGAAATGCTCACTACATAGTATTTATTTTTCTGTATATTACACCCTTGTGTGTAGATTGAATTAACAAAATGATTTTCATTATCCTATCACGTGATCATTAATAATGTAAATACCAAATTTTCGAGATAAAATAATTTTATATATCTAATTTTATGAATACAATACACAACTATTTATGTAACTAATGTCATGATACATGTCCAATGTCTAACAGTGATATATTAATTGATTTAAAATAACAATAATATGTAATAGAAATACGTCACACATAAAGACTTAGTTTTTTCATTATAAATTAGTTGTAGTGTTGCAAAATATTTAATTGGTAATAGCAAATAAATAATTTAATTTCATAGATAAAATTGCTTCCATGTTTAATTGTAAATCATCTAAAAAATGTTCCATGCATACTTATTGTTTTATATCCAGTGTTAAAATTGTACCAAACACTAAAGAATGTACATCTAAAAATCTCTTAATAATTCATGCAATATAAAACATATTATGCAAGGAACTTTAAATTTTAAAAGTAAACTGTAATATTGCTCCTAGTTTTTAAAGTATTATTAAAAATTTCAGCGAGACATAAAAATTGTTTTGAACTTATGTACTCATGTTACTAAAATTTACAAAATTTGTATAAATTTCGTTTAATTCAAGATATTCTTAAAATGGATATTGCTGATATTTGCCAAAGAAATTATGTAATACATCTCAATAATAAAAATTCAAATATTACCTTGACAAATAGTATATGATACAGAAAAATCACATGTACAATTAACATTAATTGCATTATTGTGACTTTCCTGTTTCCATTAATATATTTTACATTCCACTTTATTATAAAGATTTGAGACGTGTAATTACTCCAAAAATAATTTCTGGTGCTATTTTCTGAAATGCTATCATCTCTGTATTACCAAGAACATTGCGAATGTACTGTGTAATTACATGTAAATTGTATTAATTGAGAGGTTCTCATAACCACTGCCGTTTGAACTAACTAATATAATTACTTTGCTAAAGTATTCGGATAACGAAGATTGTAACATTGCTGTCAACAAAGAACACATTGTGCTAGAGTCTGACAAAAACTCTCAGCATTTGGTATATTGGTGTGGTCTTTGAGAGATGGTAATATTAAGCATAGGATGTGTTAAACATTCAGAAAAGAAAGCAAAAAAAAAGCATACACTGCCTTATTTATTTTACCATATAGGTAATACATTTTATTGTCATTCATTGTAGCATAATAAATTGAAGTTTCATAATGTAATAACCTGTGTAATAATCAATATATCCTGTCATGTTACTTTTCATTTTTCATTTATAATTACCATTGACGAATTTATTTAATTCAAACTGTTCAAATACTAATTATTTTTGTAGACATGAGACATTAAATATTGAATTAAAATTTTATAAAATACATACTTTATTATTTTAATATTATTTTCTCGATCTATTTTCTTATTGCATCCTACATCTCTTCATTAACCCTCTTCTATACTTCTTTTATTGAAACTATACAAAAACTATACTTTTGCGTACTGTATTTTCGAAACGGTGGAAGATATTTAATGCGGCTTTCACAACGAGCGCGATAATTCAGCCGCTCAAACTTATACTTGGATCGCTCATTGTATACATCAATTTACATTCTGTATTACATATATAGAGAGACATATATACATATATATTCTATATTATTCCATCTTAATATGAAAACAAATTGCAATTTACAGGAAAATTCATAATTTGTATTCATAAAGGTAGAATATAGGCCATGGACATTAAAAAGTAGAATTACCGAAAATAGAACAGGTGGTAACCCTGTTAAGAAGTAAACAGACGAAGGTTAACAATGATCGATGGAAGAAACGCGTCGCAGGAATAATAAAACACGGAGATTCTCCACGTTTTTATTTCCTAATACTTCCAATGCAACAAACTTACATAAATAAACCATATTATTATATACACAATAGTATCTGTCATGTATTTGCTCACCAATCTTTCCCCTTTCTTCGTTTACGATATCTTCTCCTCAATCCCAAGAATGTGGCCATTCCGATTTATCCCGCGTAACCTTAACTTTATACGATCGTCAACATTCTCTAGACATTTCTTTCTTAGAATGAAGGAAGCTTAATAATCAGTTAAAACACACCCAGTCATCTTTCCACGATAAAGTTTATGGTACTCTGCCTACTTCGCCCTCGCTTCTCTTTCCCAGATTTCCGAACGTGTAATTCAAAACTGACGATAACTCGTGTGTCTCGGACTATTGGAGAAAAGAACGGGTAGGACAATGGAGAATGTAGATGCGACACTGACCAGGCAATCAACAAATGTTTCTGCCCACTTTCTACTGTTCGAATGTTGGGCACGCACACATGTATCATCGAGTATAAATCGGGACTGTAGTATGAGTCGAAAGACGAATTAAAAGGTTAAGGAATTTGAGCTCTGTAGATAACTATTCCAACCATATGATAAATAGTATACTACAGTTTTTACTAACATTTTGTTTTTTTTTTTATATTAGTATACATGTAACATTTTTTTTTAATTGATTGTTTTATTTATAAAAATAAATGTATGTGTTTGATTATTTTAATAAAAATCAGAAGTTGTATTGCGGAGTTCTTTAATACATTAGTGTTTCTTCCGAAAAATTAAATGGTAAGATAAGTAGGTACAGTGAGTAACTTTAATATTCGGACACTGTGAGATTTTTACTTTGTTACATCATAACTTCGTTCCTAATCAAACAAATAAAAAACATAATCAAGTATTCTATTAAGGTATATAGTATAAGTTTTACTTACATAAATTACAATAGTTGTTAAATAATACGATTTAAACAAAACATTGTCTGATATTCGCGTTACTTTAATATTCGGACACCTTTATTAGGTTGTCCCAAAAGTGTCTTTCGTTTTATTAATAATTAATTCATACACAATATTTTATGTTTTATGTTACATTACAAAATTTTGTACAATTCAATTCGCTCCATTACTGTTACGGCATCAATGTCTAAGAAATTATATTGTCTATTTGTATAAACACTGCCACAGAAAATAATCGAATGCAACTCACGAAAGAAACTTTTAGGACAACCTAATAGAAACTATGTATTTTGAGGCTAATTTTTATAATATATTTTAATTATTTATAATATATAATTATAATTTGTCCACTAATATGTTTTAATATCTTGTTGGGTAGCCATTCTGTTGTATCGCTTCTTTTAAACGTTGTGGCATATTGCTAATGATTTTTTTTAAATATTCAATAGTTATTTTGTCCAATTTTTCTTTTAACCGACGTTTCAACATTTCTTTTGAAGATATTGTTGTTGTCTTGATACGTCGCTCTAGTCCATTCCACACATTTTCGATAGAATTGAGGTCAGGTGATTGAGGTGGTGGTTGCAAAACTTTTAGACAATTATACAGTAAATATTCTTGCACGATGCGTGCCTTATGTTTCTGGTCATTGTCCTGGTAAAACTTAAATGTGTTTAAAATTCCCATTTGTGTAGCACTTTTGTGTAAATTATTTTTTAATATGTCCAAATATACAGTTTTGTCCATAATATTGTCAATAAAAACTAATTCGCCCAGCCCAAATGTGGATATACAGCCCCAGACAAGCACACTGCCTCCTCCATGCTTTACAGTCGGCCTTAGATTTTTAAATTTAAATTCTTCATTTTCCTTACGCCACACCATCCTTCGTCCATCTGATCCAAAAATGTTAAATTTACTTTCGTCGGTAAAAATGACATCGTTCCACCATGTTTCTTCCATGAAAACAAATTCTTTAGCAAAATTTAATCTCTTCTTTCGATTCTGTTCATTCACATACGGTTTCTTCCTAGCTACTCTTCCATTGTAACTACTATCTTTTAAGGCGGATTGTTTGGGAATGTACCTTCTTCCCAGTCTCGTTTAAGAGCTTTGTTGCTAATTTTGGTGCACCGAGTGAAGGATCCTTCTTTGTTTTTCTTATTAGTTTCCTCAGCTTCGTGAAGTTGGCACTTCCAAATGGAAATTTGCATAAAAATCAAATTGCATTCGTTTGTCCACGATTTGTCCACGTTTGTCCAACCACAATTTTCATTTGCCCTCGTTTTGTCAATTTTATAGCTAATTATTTCTGTCTGCACCAGAACCACTAACGTTATTTGTTATTTGTTTGTTTTTTAAATTAATATTATTGACATGTTACATAAAAACGGGGAAAGAGAAATAATTAAAATATAAATATTCCAATAGCCATTCCACAAACAATTTCTGCATTTTAACTATTAATTTGCATCCAAGGGTATATACCACATACATATTCACCTTAATAATTATTAAATTGATGAACATGATACGTAAGTGTAAGTAGCGATACTACATTTTCCTAATCTATGCATAACCTTTTCCTAAGGGTTACACAAACGAAAACTTTTATTGGAAAAACAAATAACGTTAATGGTTCTGCGCAGACAGAAATAATTAGCTACAAAATTGATAAAACGAAGACAAATGACCCGCAACCGAGCGTATCGCTGGCAACTTCTCCTTAATTGAAGTGTATCTTTTTTCTGAGGGGTGGACAAACGAAAATACTTGTTGGACAAACGAAAAACATTACTGGACAAAATGTGGAAAGACACATTTTTTAAGGAAATCCTAAAAAAGGTCTATATGGGTTTGTTGACTTTAAATGGCTTGTTTGTGATGTAACTTTTTTCTGGAGGGTGGACAAATGAAAATTGTAGTTGGACAAACGTGGACAAATCGTGGACAAACGAATGCAATTTGATTTTTATCCAAATTTGCATTTGGGGGTGCTAACTTCACTAAACTAGTTTCCTCTTATCGGGTGCATCCAACTTCTTCCGTTAGCCCTTTTGGGGTATAGAGTCTATACGATCCTCGTATTTGAACCGTTTGATGATATTTGCTACGGTACTCTTACTCATGTTGAGTATGGCAGCAATTTGTCTACATGATTTCCCCTTTGTATTGTGAAAAATCACAAGTTGTCGTATATTATACGTGGTATTGCTTTTGCGTGGCATTATACACGTGCACATAACGGTTATCGAAGAATAACTGATGAAATAAAGCTTGTTGTTGTTAGTATCATCCGAACAGTCTACTGCATTTGTAAACAAACACTCCTTCTAAATTCGAAGTAACTCTGCGTAAACACTCAGAAAAGGTGCTACACTACCAAGTGTCTGAATATTAAAGTAACACGAAAATCAGACAATGTTTTGTTTAAATTGTATTATTTAACAACTATTGTAAGTTATGTAAGTAAACCTTATACTATTGTTTACCACACATATACCTTAATACAATACTTGATTATGTTTTTTATTTGTTTGATTAGAAACGAAGTTATGATGTAACAAAGTAAAAATCTCATAGTGTCCGAATATTAAAGTTACTCACTGTATGTGTAAAATGTCGGTACGTTTAGTGTTAATTATTAACTATATGAATGTTTATGCCGTCAAAGTACCGTATTTTAATGGGTAAGGGGACAAAATTAACGTAGTATTTTGTGGTAAATATGAATTTCGATCGTTGAATCTTGTTCAACGAATAACGAATTTTTTTAATGCCAGATTTTAATATCACTTGAATTTCATGTCACGAGGAGATACGAAGCTGTAGTATGTACTTTTGTAGTAAATATCTATTGTACGTTACCACGAACCGATGTTAATGTGTCGTTATATTTGAAATGGCAAACTTATATTCGAATGATAGAACGCGAATAAAACCTTTATCCGATGGAGGATTAAATTTATCACTTTCCTTATTTACTCAAAATTTGTACTTTAAGCTAGAACCCTATTTCGCAAAAATTATTTGTTTATTTCTAAAAAAAGAACAGATTTCACTCTACTCAGTCTACGATATATTCTTATTTTTCTGCCAATTAATTTTTGTACTGCGATTTGGGGAAATCTAATCATTATTTATCTATTTCATTTCGTCGTCTTATTAACACCACTATAGAGGCTGAAAGAAAGGCCTAACTTTGATAATTAATTTTGAGGGTATCGCAAAAGGAATAGGGTTTCTTTTTACAGGGTTTATTTAACACATATTAAAGTATAAACAAAATTTGTTGTATTATAATTTTATTATAAAATGGCGGCGACGAAGCGAGTCTTAAAAATTGACTATTTTTCAAACCCCTTCACGGAAGGACGGTTTTCTCATTATGTATTGTATAACATTTGGAACAAGAAACCAACAAATTTCATAATATATATATTGTTGGCTATAGAAATACGTAGCTATTTTTTTATTTAATGTAAACTTTCATTTTTGTTATCAATTTACCATTTATTTTTTAGCCAAAAAATGGGTTAGTGCGCTATTTCTACAATATTTGATTTAAAAAAAAACCCTACGTACTTCTATAGACAAGAATATATAGATTATAAAATTGTTCGGTTGTTTGTTCCAAATTTTATACACAACGAGAAAAACGTCCTCCCGTGAAGGCGTTTTAAAGTAAGTCAATTTTGAAGACTCGCTTTGTCGTCGATATTTTGTACTAAAATTATAACACGACAGTTTTTGTTTATACTTTGATATGTGTTAAATAAACCCTGTAAAAATAAATTCTACTCCTCTTACGATACTCTCAAAATTAATTATCAAAGTTAGCCCTTTTCTTCAGCCTCTAGAGTGGTGTTAACCCTTAAATAAACTTGAATTCGTAGAAGAACCACGAAGGTTGCCCCAAATCGCGGTGCAACGTACGTCTTCGTATTCGTATGTTTCGTTGAGGTCGACTGGACGAAACGTCAAAAATAATGAAATTATATCGTGAATCGATTTGAATAAGCCGGCACCGTGTAAAAATTCCAGTAAAATTCAAAAACCCATGATGTACGCGTACATCGACGTCGCTGGTGTCTGATGCGGACGTGAACCACGGTGACTGGAAATCGGACGGGCGACAAGTGCAAAAATCGAACGATCTAAATGAGGATACGTTCGTCGGGTATGCGAAATAGAAGCACGTGCGTTACTACCGCGAAAGATGTCAGGTGTGAAGGATTTCTCTTGTATCGGAGGTTTGGAGAAGCATATCAGGGTGGTGAAAGAGACGGTTCTGTTCCCGCTTTTGTACGGCGACGTTTACGCCAAGTTCAACCTGAAACCGCCGAGGGGCTTACTCTTTTACGGGCCTCCTGGTAAACTAAAGCGTTCTACGGTTCGTAATGTAGCACGATCCTCGGGGAGACGTGATTTCCCG